TTGCAGCGGAGGGTGCAGAGCTGGTGGCCGGGGTAGTGGTAGCCAGGTGGAAAGCATGGCCAGCCGTAGCAAAATGCTTGTTGAAATTCTCGATTATTGTAGATTTATCAGTGGTGATAGTGTTTCCTAGCCTCAGTGCAGTGGGCAGCTGGGAGGAGGTGCTCTTATTCTCCATGGACTTTACAGTGTCCCAAAACATTTTGGAGTTAGTGCTACAGGATGCAAATTTCAGTTTGAAAAAGTTAGCCTTTGCTTTCCTAACTGATTGTGTATATTGGTTCCTAACTTCCCTGAAAAGTTGCATATCGCAGGGCCTATTTGATGCTAATGCAGTACGCCACAGGATGTTTTTGTGCTGGTCAAGGGCAGTCAAGTCTGAGGAGAACCAGGGGCTATATCTGTTCTTAGTTCTGTATTTTTTGAATGGGGCATGTTTATTTAAGATTGAGAGGAAATTACTTTTAAAGAACAACCAGGCATCCTCTACTGACGGAATGAGATCTATATCCATCCAGGATACCTGGGCCAGGTCAATTAGGAAGGCCTGCTCGCTAAAGTGTTTTTGGGAGCGTTTGACAGTGATGAGGGGTGGTCGTTTGACTGCAGACCCATTACGGACGCAGGCAATAAGGCAGTGATCGCTGAGATCCTGGTTGAAGACAGCGGAGGTGTATTTAGAGGGTAAGTTAGTCAGGATGATATCTATGAGGGTACCCATGTCTACGGATTTAGGGTTGTACCTGGTAGGTTCGTTGATAATTTGTGTGAGATTGAGGGCATCTAGTTTGGATTGTAGGATGGCCGGGGTGTTAAGCATATCCCAATTTAGGTCACCAAGCAGTACGAACTCTGAGGATAAATGGGGGGTAATCAATTCACATATGGTGTCCAGGGCACAGCTGGGGGCTGAGGGGGGTCTGTAGCAAGCGGCAACAGTGAGAGACTTATTTCTGGAAAGGTGGATTTTTAGAAGTAGAAGCTCAAACTGTTTGGGCAGAGACCTGGATAGTATGATAGAGCTCTGCAGGCTATCTCTACAGTAGATTGCAACTCCACCCCATTTGGCAGTTCTATCTAGACGGAAAATGTTGTAGTTGGGGATGGAAATTTCAGAATTTTTGGTGGCCTTCCTAAGCCAGGATTCAGACACTGCTAGAACATCAGGGTTGGTGGAGTGTGCTAACACAGTGAATAACTCAAACTTAGGAAGGAGGCTTCTGATGTTAACGTGCAGAAAACCAAGGCTTTTACGGTTACAGAAGTCAACAAATGATAGCTCCTGGGGAGTAGGATTGATACTGGGGGCTGCAAGGCCTGGGTTAGCCTCTACATCACCAGAGGAACAGAGGAGGACTAGAATAAGGATACGGCTAAAGGCTTTAAGAACTGGTCTTCTAGTGCGTTGGGTACAGAGAATAAAGGGGGCAGATTTCCGGGCGGTGTAGAAAAGATTCAGGGCGTTATGTACAGACAAGGATATGGAAGGATATGAGTACAGTGGAGGTAAACCTAAGCGTTGGGTAACAATGAAAGAGATAGCTCACTGGAGGCACCGATTGAGCCGGTCTCGGCGTGTATGGGGGTGGAACAAAGGAACTATTTGAGGCAGTTTGAGAGGGACTTGGGGTTCTACAGTGAAATTGTATAATAAGAACTAACTGGAACAGCAATAGGCAAGGCATATTGACATGGGAGAGAGGCATAAAGCAATCACAGGTGTTATTAGAGAGAGCTAAGACAACAACTGGTAATGGCAATAAGGTTTGGGCTGAGGCTAAACAGAATAAACAGGACAGGGTACTGTGTAAAGGAACAGTCCAGCAGGCATCAGCTGTGCAGCTGAGTGATCATAAGGTCCAGTGAACAGCAATATGTGAGTCCGAGAGCAGTTCAAATTGGTGCTTCAGCACAGCGAGCAGGAAGCACGGTTGTAGTTTGCGTGTGCTAGCGGGCTGGGGCTAGCAGATGGATCTTCGTGGTGGTCGCAACGGGAAGCCTGTTGAAACCACAGACGATTACGTCGGCAGACCAGTCGTGATGGATCGGCGGGGCTCCGTGTCAACTCTAGGAGGTCCCGTCCGGTTGACAGAGAGGTAGATAGCCGGGAGATGTGCCTGACTCAAGGCTAGCTCAAGGCTGATTAGCCAACAACAACGTTAATTTGGTTGCAGCTAACTAGTTGCGATTATCCAGTGTTAAAGGTCCAGTGATTCAGTGATTCCGGCAGAAAATCCGATAGGATTCTGGGTCGATAACACGCTGTGCAGACAGTGCAGACTGGCCGATAATAGTCCAGGCTAGAGCTGGCTGGTAGGTCGTGCAGGCCACGGACAATGGAGAAAAGCCGCTAATGGTGGCTAATAGCAAGTAGCTAGTTAGCTGGCTACTCCCGTCCGGTAGACAGAGAGGTAGATAGCCGGGGCTAGCTCAAGGCTCAAGGCTAACTGGTGCTACGGGGGCAGTGATGATTAGCCTACAGCAACATCCATTCGACATCTATTCGGTTGCGGCTAGCTAGATCCGGTGTTAAGGTCCAGTGATTCAGTTATTCCGGCAGAAAATCCGATGTTCTGGGTGAAAACCGCTAACGGTGGCTAATAGCAAGTAGCTAGTTAGCTAGTTAGCTGGTGATATGATGTTTTTATGCTATAATGATGTCATGCCATAGTATTGTGAGGACAGGGAAAGAGTTAAGAGATGAGTGGTTTGGGGCCATGAAGTCTACATTCCATTATGTCAAGGTAGATTAGTGATGTTTAGGATAGCATGAGTGATGTGCAGGATACTGACTTGAGGTAAAAAGTGATGAACATCAAAGGCAGGGAGCGCCCATGGAGACTTGCCAGATGTACAGTGGGGGAAAAAAGTATTTAGTCAGCCACCAATTGTGCAAGTTCTCCCACTTAAAAAGATGAGAGAGGCCTGTAATTTTCATCATAGGTACACGTCAACTATGACAGACAAATTGAGATTTTTTTTCTCCAGAAAATCACATTTTTTATGAATTTATTTGCAAATTATGGTGGAAAATAAGTATTTGGTCAATAACAAAAGTTCCTCAATACTTTGTTATATACCCTTTGTTGGCAATGACACAGGTCAAACGTTTTCTGTAAGTCTTCACAAGGTTTTCACACACTGTTGCTGGTTCTTTGGCCCATTCCTCCATGCAGATCTCCTCTAGAGCAGTGATGTTTTGGGGCTGTCGCTGGGCAACACGGACTTTCAACTCCCTCCAAAGATTTTCTATGGGGTTGAGATCTGGAGACTGGCTAGGCCACTCCAGGACCTTGAAATGCTTCTTACGAAGCCACTCCTTCGTTGCCCGGGTGGTGTGTTTGGGATCATTGTCATGCTGAAAGACCCAGCCACGTTTCATCTTCAATGCCCTTGCTGATGGAAGGAGGTTTTCACTCAGAATCTCACGATACATGGCCCCATTCATTCTTTCCTTTACACGGATCAGTCGTCCTGGTCCCTTTGCAGAAAAACAGCCCCAAAGCATGATGTTTCCACCCCCATGCTTCACAGTAGGTATGGTGTTCTTTGGATGCAACTCAGCATTCTTTGTCCTCCAAACACGACGAGTTGAGTTTTTACCAAAAAGTTGTATTTTGGTTTCATCTGACCATATGGCATTCTCCCAATCCTCTTCTGGATCATCCAAATGCACTCTAGCAAACTTCAGACGGGCCTGGACATGTACTGGCTTAAGCAGGGGGACACGTCTGGCACTGCAGGATTTGAGTCCCTGGCGGCGTAGTGTGTTACTGATGGTAGGCTTTGTTACTTTGGTCCCAGCTCTCTGCAGGTCATTCACTAGGTCCCCCCGTGTGGTTCTGGGATTTTTGCTCACCGTTCTTGTGATCATTTTGACCCTACGGGGTGAGATCTTGCGTGGAGCCCCAGTTCGAGGGAGATTATCAGTGGTCTTGTATGTCTTCCATTTCCTAATAATTGCTCCCACAGTTGATTTCTTCAAACCAAGCTGCTTACCTATTGCAGATTCAGTCTTCCCAGCCTGGTGCAGGTCTACAATTTTGTTTCTGGTGTCCTTTGACAGCTCTTTGGTCTTGGCCATAGTGGAGTTTGGAGTGTGACTGTTTGAGGTTGTGGACAGGTGTCTTTTATACTGATAACAAGTTCAAACAGGTGCCATTAATATAGGTAACGAGTGGAGGACAGAGGAGCCTCTTAAAGAAGAAGTTACAGGTCTGTGAGAGCCAGAAATCTTGCTTGTAGGTGACCAAATACTTATTTTCCACCATAATTTGCAAATAAATTCATTAAAAATCATACAATGTGATTTTCTGGATTTTTTCTCCTTATTTTGTCTGTCATAGTTGACGTGTACCTAAGATGAAAATTACAGGCCTCTCTCATCTTTTTAAGTGGGAGAACTTGCACAATTGGTGGCTGACTAAATACTTTGTTTCCCCACTGTATGCCAGGAGTAATAAAGGCTATATAAGGTAATAAAGGCTATATAAGATAGAGTGTCTTCTTTGTTAGGTAGTTCAACTGACGAAGGGCAAAGCCATGTCCGTTTGTTGGATGAACCCACGAGCTCGTGATTGAATAAATACTTGGTATGAAATCTCCACAGAATGTCTAAGTATAGCCTTGCATCCTTGATTCTTTGATACCTGAGAAACTCATCATAACAGATGGCTGGCTAGTTTCAACTGGAGATTCTAGATAAAGGTGAGTAAATAATAGAATCCGTTCCACATTGAGTGAGGCGGGTTGCAGGAAAGTATATTTAGTAGAAGGATGAAATGTGTGATAGGGAAATATATACGTAAAATACAAAAAAAATACAAAAAACTGGCTATTTACATGGACACACAAGAGAACATGACCACACTGCTACGCTATCTTGGAACAGGACATGGTTCAGAGATCAAGGCAGTTGTGGTTATTCTAGAGGTCTTAATTGGGAGAAATGTTTCCAGGCGTTTCCTCTGATCTAGATGTGTGTCTGTGTCTCCACTCTACAGTGTCTGCAGGCTCTGGATTTCCTGCACTCCAACCAGGTGATCCACAGAGACATCAAGAGTGACAACATCCTGCTGGGCATGGACGGCTCGGTCAAGCTCAGTAAGTCACCTCACCAGTAGGGGACAGGCAGGGACCAGGGTGGAATGATGCAGTCAATGGTATGTTGGTGGAGAGAGTAATGTGGAAAGGGATGGGGTTGGGGGAGAGAGCCATGTGGAAATGGGTGGAGTTGAACCAATGTCTGACGTTTCTCTCTCCCTGCAGCCGACTTTGGGTTCTGTGCCCAGATCACCCCAGAGCAGAACAAGCGAAGCACCATGGTGGGCACGCCCTACTGGATGGCACCCGAGGTGGTGACCCGTAAGGCCTACGGGCCCAAGGTGGACATCTGGTCCCTGGGTATCATGGCTATAGAGATGGTGGAGGGAGAACCTCCCTACCTTAATGAGAACCCTCTCAGGGTAAAACCGAAACACACCATCTACAGTACACACACATCCAGGGATATATTAGAGATATTTGATCAATAACTGCCAGTAACTGATTGTCCCTCTCCACCCCTCTCTCCCCTCCTCCTCAGGCCCTGTACCTAATCGCCACCAACGGGACTCCAGAGCTGCAGAACCCTGAGCGTTTGACCTCCGTGTTCAGAGACTTCCTCAACCGCTGCCTGGAGATGGACGTGGACCGCAGAGGCTCAGCCAAGGAGCTCCTCCAGGTACACAACAACCCCACCCTGACCACCAAAACATAACCTAAACTTGACCACTCTAACATAACCCAACCCTGACCACTCTACCATAACCCAACCCTGACCACTCTAACATAACCCAACCCTGACCACTCTAACATAACCCAACCCTGACCACTCTAACATAACCCAACCCTGACCACCAAAACATAACCCAAGCCTGACCACTCTAACATAACCCTAACTTAATGTAGCAGGTGTAAAAGAAACGCCTGAAACTAGATTCCCTACATACTGGTCTTGATGAGAAGAAAAAAAACTTTTGGGGAGGTGCTTTTCTGCACTGTTCAACCAATCTAGTAAATGTGGAGGAGGAGTTAAGATGGAGTGTCGCCTTGTTAACGTCCAAAAGCGTAAGTCGCATCACAGGCTCTCTTTTCATTTCCCCTGAAAACCGGAACATCCAGTTGTTGGGGACTCGGCAGAGGCTAACATAACCAAATCTGACCACACCAACTAGTTTACTCCTACATTACTATAGCAACGCACATGCCACGCCCACCTGAGGATCTGTCATTTTCAGCCATCTATTTCCTGTGTTTGAGGTGTGCAAAATCCACTTGTTACTTTAATCTCGCTGGATTGATTGCTTTCATTTTACTCCTGCGACTCTTTCATAATCTTGCTTGTGGCTGTCTTTTTTCCCCGTTAACATTACCACGTTATGTTTGTAATGACCTTTCAAACACACCCCGGTAATGGCTGAAATGGGCTCAATGGAATATATTGTCTCTCTGTTGCATCCATAAGAACGCTAAAGCTTCATCGGGGATTTAACACATCATATAGACACTTACATCACAAGAAAGATAACTTTATTTTGAGGGTGTACATTTTTTGTGGAATTGAAAGAAGTAATCATTTTATACAATGATAATGTATTCATATACGCAAATATACCCAGTGTATTTATGCAAATGAGGCACATATAATTTTCTTTATTTTAACACAAAATATGAAAGAAATACCTGATACCATTAGAAAATGTATATATGAGTGCATTCTAAGAAAAAAACTGGGACATTTTACAATAAATTGAATACCTGAATTCTGTTGCTACATTACTAACCTACAGGTAACTGACAAAATAAAGGAAACACCAACTTAAAGTGTCTTAATAGGGCATTGTACCACCACGAGCCACCAGAACAGCTTCAATGCACCTTGGCATAGATTCTACAACTGTCTGGAACTCTATTGGAGGGATGTGACACCATTCTTCCACAAGAAATTACATAATTTGGTGTTTTGTCGATGGTGGTGGAAAACGCTGTCTCAGGCGCTGCTCCAGAATCTCCCATAAGTGTTCAATTGGGTTGAGATCTGGTGACAGAGACACACCCACACAGCCTTAAACCCCCTATGCTCCCTTGAGACCCCTCTTTCAAAGTCACTGACATATTTTCTTCTAGCCATGGTAGCCAAAATAATGGGCAACTGGGCATTTTTATACATGACCCTAACCATGATGGGATGTTTTAATTGCTTAATTAACTCAGGAACCACATCTGTGTTGAAGCACCTGCTTTCAATACACTTAGTATCCCTCATTTACTCACGTGTTTCCTTTATTTTGGCAGTTACGTGTACAGTTCTAATCTGAAATCACAGTCTGTACACGCAGGGCTGCAGAGCATTCCCCCATCACTATTCTTCTCTTGTGTTCCCTTGCAGCATTCCTTCCTGAAGTTAGCCAAGCCCCTGTCCAGCCTGAGCCCCCTGATTGTAGCAGCTAAGGAGGCCATAAAAAACAGCAGCCGCTAGAGGGCGCCATGTTTCCACACACAGAGCTGGACCCTGCTCCATGGGGTTGTGTGACAGACAGTAACCAACCCACCTGCTGCCTCATGGATGGACAGCTGGCCTACAGGGCCTCTCAGCGGTCAGACGCTGCTGCTGAACCGCCTGCCGCCTCCTCCTTTAGTCCTCCAGCATTCTGTACATGTGGAGCAGTCTGTCAGACATGTGTGTAAGCGTGTGTGTAAGCGTGTGTGTGTGTCCTGTGAGGAGAGTAGAGGCTCCTAAACTTAAAACTAAAAAGAGAAAATACCGAAGAAAAAAACTTGTGCTCTTTTTCAAAAGGGAGAGATCCAGGAAGAGAGGCAGAACGTAACAGCACTGAGATAATGTGATTCCTTCCTTGTCTGTCCAGTGATCGCCTTGGTTCCCTTTCCCTTTCCATCAGGCCTCTCCTGCAGAGAACATTTTACATGAGACAGACTTGGGGACTCTGGACCCAACATATGCCTGCATGACTTTGGCTCCATGTAACCAACTTGCAACCTGTGTGTGTGAGTGTGTGTGTGTGTGTGCGTGCGTATGTGTGTGTGTGTGCGTGCGTATGTGTGTGTGTGTGCGTGCGTATGTGTGTGTGTGTGTGTTCGTGCGTGCGTGCGTGCGTACGTGTGTGTGTGTGCGTACGTGTGTGTGAGAGAGAGAAAAGGAGGGAGGGAGGGAGGGAGGGAGGGAAGTGGCAACCATCCTTCAAAGCCAGTTGGCAGTTGTACTCCAGGACATAGCTGTAATTTCTTGGACACCCTAAAGTTATTAGATGTTCAGAGATCTGACATAGAGAATGGCTGAGTTCAAATTCACAGCTTTGAAAACATTTTCCAATTTTTGAAATATGAAAGCTATGTTATGGGATAAATACCTTTAAAAATCGATTTAGTAAATTAATTGATTTGTAATTGTTTGGCCAGAGTCAGAGAGTCTGAGACTGAAGGTCAGTTAGAAAAATTCTGAAGTTGTCACAATCTATTGCAGGACGTTAGACTGTGTTACTGTGTCTATTTCTGTGGGGTTAGTCTACAGACAAATATTTGCTTGATTTTTTTTTTGGGGGGGGGGTGGGGGGTGAGGGGGGGTTCAGTGTTTGCCAATGTTACCATTTTGTTTCACATCAATGAGCCTTACTTTTGCATGCTTAACCTCTGATCTGTGAATTTACTTAGATGTATCAGAAGTAGAAGCCATGCTTAGTGTGATAAGCCATTTGTTAAAATGAGCACAATCCCTGAGTTAGCGCACATGTTCATCTGTCTATCTGTCTGCCTGTCCATGATGTGTATATCTAAAAGAAATTATGGAACGCTATTATTTAGCTGATCCACTCTCAGCATAAATTAAGACTTATTGCTCCAGTGTCTTGTTGCTAAACTTTCTGATGTACTGTGTGAGTTTGGTCGTGTCTGTTTCTATGTATTTCTGTGAGTTTAGACTGTTTGGCAGATTGGTGGGTGGATGTTAATCATTTGCCCATGAAAAGATTTTTGGATCGATGACTGAGTGCCATTTTATGATTGTAATCTGTCTTGCGGACCATTGGAAACTAGAGGATCACATTCCCCTTCACTCTGCCATTCTTCTCATCCCATAGGCTACTAGAAAACAACTCTGAAAAGCTCTCTCTGCATACTGTTTCTTGATTCTTCTTTCAATAGCTTAGTAATAACCATTAATATGGCATCCTCCATCTGGTCCATAGTAGCCACAGCATCCCTTAGGATTGTACTGAAGTCCAGACCTGGGACAGAGAGAGTAGGCGACAGGATAGATGTTGAGGGTCTAACCTGTAGTGTACACCATACAGTGATATCAGTCCCTGATCTCAGGGTTCTCATTGGGAGTCACTGACCACTGGTTTCATGGGCTATATCCCATGAGCTCACACTGTATCCCTGGTAGATGGTGTGTGTGTGTGTGTGTGTGTGTGTGTGTGTGTGTGTGTGTGTGTGTGTGTGTGTGTGTGTGTGTGTGTGTGTGTGTATGAATGGGAGTGTGAGTGTATGCATGAGTGGCTGTGTGTAAACATTTGTGTGTTTTTAAGGGAGAGAGCGACCTCAGTCTGCACTAGATACCACACCTGTTCTCCACCTTAACTCAGACTGTGTAGTGCAGGGTAGCTTCTCACTCATACCTCCACCATAGCCTATATGTGGAAATGCAGGAGAGCCTCACACTGTCCATTGCAAGGAGTACATCACTAATTTCATGCATGGGAAAACAATACGTTAATTAATTTTCCAATTAGGCTAACATTGTTAGGATATGTGTGTGTGTATGTAAATATTATGTGATTATTTTATTTTGGGGGAGTTACGTAACTTAAAAATGAAATGATAATATTCAGGTTGCTCTATGGTATGTATTTATAAATGTTTTGCACCCTGGAAATTGAACAAGAAAATAAAACACACTCCTGGATGGAACGATCCTGCTTGGGCTGTGTCAGACAGTACTCCACCTGGACACAGAGCCGTTGGAAGCAGTCCCCCGTCTGTCTCCAGCAGTCCCCCGTCTGTCTCCAGCAGTCCCATGTCTGTCTCCAGCAGTCCCCCGTCTGTCTCCATTAGTCCCATGTCTGTCTGTCCGGAGCACTACTTCTGAGTGTGCCTGTGGCTGAGAGTCTCAGGGACCTCACAGAGACTATCTGCCCTCTGACCTTTAGCCTCACCTCTATGTACAGGCCTGAACTCTGAGCACAAAGATGAACTCTGGGACAGCTAGCTGCCCTGCCCCTCCCCTCCCCTCCCCGCCAGCCCGCTCCTCTTCCACGGTCGATCCTGTACATTCCTCTCTTCTGAATGTGTAAACCTGTACACGTGGTGTGAAAATTCCTCTATTAATGTGTATCATGAGAACGGAACAAAGACAAAAAAGCGTTTCTTTAAAATGATTATTATCTGGGTTTGTAAACTGCTGAGCCATCTGGTGAACCTCAGCAAGCCCCATCTTTGGAAAAGGACAGAAGAGAAAAAGCGACTGGGGAAAACTAAGGTTTTGGATATGCTATTTTTAATTGTGGTTAAAGCAACATACTTTTTTGAATTCTGAATTGTGCATGGCTGTGTCTTGAGTGTAAAACAACAAAATACTGCAGTTTGGGAACTGAACTGAAATAAAATAAATTTAAACCAAAAAAAAACATTGTAAAATTACTTTTCGGTTTGAATGGATGTATTTTTCTTTGTTGTCAGTAGGGAGGGACTACGTGGCAAGTCATTTTGAGCAAGGGAGTACGATAGTTTAGAGGCAGTACATACACTTTAGGCATTTCAAGTTGTTCAGTGGAACGACACAAATTGATGACCATGGTTCAAAACTTACACTCTAGATACATTCAGGTCTTTCAAGACTTTCCAATATTTTGTAGCAAATACTGAAGCCTTTTGGCTGTTTTTCAGCAATATCAAAAGAGGCACTTATATTTGTATATGATAACAAACATGTTATTGGAATGTATAAGTTGCATAATGTTGTATACAGATACAGTATGCATATCACTTTGAAGAGTTATTATGTTTCATAGTGTATAGTCTAGTAGAAAATTATTATATTCTTACTTTTTCACAGTTATTCATCTTTCAAAAATGAATGTCTTGTCTCTTTACAAAACACTCAAAACTAATGCTATAAGAACAAACAAAACTCCAGAAGGCTTGAAGGTACTTCTTGGTCCATGGCAGTCCTTAGTAGAATATATTGTAAGCTCACATTGATAGTCATTCTGAGTGATAACTTTATGTCTTGTAGTGCTGAGCCCCTGTCCAAAGTGTCCGAGGCGACAGAGTGTTGTAAACACTATCAATGTGTCCCAGGTAGTAGTCAGCTGATCCAGGTCACATGTCTGTGAGCTCGGTGCAGGTGACAATGCGGAGGGTGATGAAGCCAGGCATCTCGTCGGCCATGGCTCTACCCCTCTTCCTCAGCTGGAGCCTCTGGGGGTCGGTGGAGTCATTGACTGAGCCTGTCAGAACCACCTGGCCCAGGAACTGGTCCTTCACAGCATTACTGTTCCACACCTGGGGAGGAGGACGAAGAGGGGAGATGGAGGACAGAGGTGGAGAACATTTAAGACCAAGGTTTTACATGAACAACATCTGACCATCCATTGAAGGGCTGTATTCAATCCGTAGCGCTGAAGTTTGGCGTTGTATCCCGATTTATATTCAAAGGCACTGTTCCTGCGTTAGCGGAAACTGCATTCACGGTAATCTCTGCATGTGTCGGCTCAATCGGAATTTACCTTTAAATTTCAAGCGCACTGTAGTGCTGAAGTGCGGCGATACAGATTGAATCCGGCCCTAATTTCTGACCTAAATGTTACAATTCACTAGTCAGTTTATTTTCCCAGCCCATTGTTAGTGATGGTCTTTGACCCCCATACTGTATACAGTTGATGTCGGAAGTTTACATACACTTAGGATGGAGTCATTAAAACTCGTTTTTCAACCACTCCACAAATTTATTGTTAACAAACGATAGTTTTGGCAAGTAATTTTTCCAACAATTGTTTACAGACAGATTATTTCACTTATATTTCACTCTATCACAGTTCCAGTGGGTCAGAAATGTACATGCACTAAGTTGACTGTGCCTTTAAACAGCTTGGAAAATTCCAGAAAATGATATCATGGCTATAGAAGCTTCTGATAGGCTAATTGACATCATTTGAGTCAATTGGAGGTGTACCTGTGGGTGTATTTCAAGGCCTACCTTCAACCTCAGTGCCTCTTTGCTTGACATCATAGGAAAATCAAAAGAAATCAGCCAATTCCTCAGAAAAAAATGGTAGACCTCCACAAGTCTGATTCGTCCTTAGGAGCAATTTCCAAACGCCTGAAGGTACTACGTTCATCTGTACAAACAATAGTACGCAAGTATAAACACCATAGGACCATGCAGCCGTCATACCGCTCAGGAAGGAGACGTGTTCTGTCTCCTAGAGATGAACGTACTTTGGTGCGAAAAGTGCAAATCAATCCCAGAACAACAGCAAAGGACCTTGTGAAGATGCTGGAGGAAACAGGTACAAAAGTATCTATATCCACAGTAAAACAAGTCCTATATCGACATAATCTGAAAGGCCGCTCAGCAAGGAAGAAGCCACTGCTCCAAAACCGCCATAAAAAAGCCAGACTACGGTTTGCAACTGCACATGGGGACAAAGATCGTACTTTTTGGAAAAATGTCCTCTGGTCTGATGTAACAAAAATAGAACTGTTTGGCCATAATGACCATTGTTATGTTTGGAGGAAAAAAGGGGTGGTTGCAAGCTGAAGAACACCATCCCAACCGTGAAGCACGGGGGTGGCGGCATCATGCTGTGAGGGTACACAATGACCCAAAACATACTTCCAAAGTTGTGGCAAAATTGCTTAAGGACAACAAAGTCAAGGTATTGGAGTGGCCATCACAAAGCCCTGACCTCAATCCTATAGAACATTTGTGGGCAGAACTGAAAAAGCGTGTGCGAGCAAGGAGGCCTACAAACCTGACTCAGTTACACCAGCTCTGTCAGGAGGAATGGGCCACAATTCACCCAACTTATTGTGGGAAGCTTGTGGAAGGCTACCCGAAATGTTTGACCCAAGTTAAACAATTTAAAGGCAATGCTACCAAATACTAATTGAGTGTATGTAAACTTCTGACCCACTGGGAATGTGATGAAATAAATAAAAGCTGAAATAAATCATTCTCTCTACTATTATTCTGACATTTCACATTTTTAAAATAAAGTGGCGATCCTAACTGACCTAAGACAGGGAATTATTTTTTTACTATTAAATGTCAGGAATTGTGAAAGAACTGAGTTTAAATGTATTTGGCTAAGGTGTATAGTGAGGGAAAAAAGTATTTGATCCCCTGCTGATTTTGTACGTTTGCCCACTAACAAAGACATGATCAGTCTATAATTTTAATGGTAGGTTTATTTTAACAGTGAGAGACAGAATAACAACAAAGAAATCCAGAAAAACGCATGTCAAAAATGTTATAAATTGATTTGCATTTTAATTAGGGAAATAAGTATTTGACCCCTCTGCAAAACATGACTTAGTACTTGGTTGCAAAACCCTTGCTGGCAATCACAGAGGTCAGACGTTTCTTGTAGTTGGCCACCAGGTTTGCACACATCTCAGGAGGGATTTTGTCCCACTCCTCTTTGCAGATCTTCTCCAAGTCATTAGGGTTTCGAGCCTGACGTTTGGCAACTCGAACCTTCAGCTCCCTCCACATATTTTCTATGGGATTAAGGTCTGGAGACTGGCTAGGCCACTCCAGGACCTTAATGTGCTTCTTCTTGAGCCACTCCTTTGTTGCCTTGGCCGTGTGTTTTGGGTCATTGTCATGCTGGAATACCCATCCACAACCCTTTTTCAATGCCCTGGCTGAGGGAAGGAGGTTCTCACCCAAGATTTGACGGTACATGGCCCCGTCCATCGTCCCTTTCATGTGGTGAAGTTGTCCTGACCCCTTAGCAGAAAAACACCCCCTAAAGCATAATGTTTCCACCTCCATGTTTGACGGTGGGGATGGTGTTTTTGGGGTCATAGGCAGCATTCCTCCTCCTCCAAACACGGCGAGTTGAGTTGATGCCAAAGAGCTCGATTTTGGTCTCATCTGACCACAACACTTTTACCCAGTTCTCCTCTGAATCATTCAGATGTTCATTGGCAAACTTCAGACGGGCCTGTATATGTGCTTTCTTGAGCAGGGGGACCTTGCGGGCGCTGTAGGATTTCAGACATTCACGGCGTAGTGTGTTACCAATTGTTTTCTTGGTGACTATGGTCCCAGCTGCCTTGAGATCATTGACAAGATCCTCCCGTGTAGTTCTGGGCTGATTCCTCACCGTTCTCATAATCATTGCAAATTCACGAGGTGAGATCTTGCATGGAGCCCCAGGCCGAGGGAGATTGACAGTTATTTTGTGTTTCTTCCATTTGCGAATAATCGCACCAACTGTTGTCACCTTCTCACCAAGCTGCTTGGCGATGGTCTTGTAGCCCATTCCAGCCTTGTGTACGTCTACAATCTTGTCCCTGACATCCTTGGAGAGCTCTTTGGTCTTGGCCATGGTGGAGAGTTTGGAATCTGATTGATTGATTGCTTCTGTGGACAGGTGTCTTTTATACAGGTAACAAGCTGAGATTAGGAGCACTCCCTTTAAGAGTGTGCTCCTAATCTCAGCTCGTTACCTGTATAAAAGACACCTGGTGTCACACCCTGGCTCTGGGACTCTATATGTTGAGCCAGGGTGTGTTCATTCTATGTGATGTATTTCTATGTTGGGAGTTCTAGTTGTTCTGTTTCTATGTTGGCCTGAGTGACTCCCAATCAGAGGCAACGAGTGTCAGCTGTGGCTGGTTGTCTCTGATTGGGAGCCATATTTAAACTGTCTGTTTTCCCTTTGTGTTTGTGGGTTCTTGTTCCAGTTGGTTGTGTTTGTACCGTGGACTTCACGAGTTGTTTGTTGTTTTGTTGTTTGTCCGTATTTATCACTAAAGATAAATAAACATGTTCGTTCATCACGCTGCGCCTTGGTCTACTCCTTACGACGATCGTGACAGAAGAACCCACCATCACAGGACCAAGCAGCGTGTCCAGGAGCAGGCGGCCTGGACGTGGGAGCAGATCTTAGACGGGCAGGGGTCCTGGACCTGGGAGGAAATCCTGGCCGGGATGGATCGCCGGCCATGGAGTGAGACAGTAGAGAGGCGACGGAGAGAGGAGCAACGGCGTGATCAGTGTCGTCGTCGGACGGTGGAGAGGCAACCCCAAAAAAAATTTAGGGGGGGGCACAGGGCATGGACGACGGGGCTGACGGAGGCAGAAAAGGGGCGTATTCAGAAGGCCACCAGGTTACGGGGGCCACTGGTCAAAGTAGGGAAAGAAGGTTTAGAGGCACGGCGAGAGGTACTGGGGTGTGTTACCAGTCCGGTCCGGCCCGTTCCAGATCCCGGGGTAGAGCCAGTGGTGTGTGTCCCCAGTACGGTCCGGCCTGTTACGGCCCCTCGCACAAAATGTACGGTGCGCGTCGCCAGCCCGGTCCGGCCTGTTCCTGCCACTCGCAGGTTGTGTTTGTACCGTGGACTTCACGAGTCGTTTGTTGTTTTGTTGTTTGTCCGTATTTATCACTAAAGATAAATAAACATGTTCGTTCATCACGCTGCGCCTTGGTCTACTCCTTACGACGATCGTGACACCTGGGAGCCAGAAATCTTTCTGATTGAGAGGGGGTCAAATACTTATTTCCCTCATTAAAATGCAAATCAATTTATAACATTTTTGACATGCATTTGTTCTGGATTTTGTTGTTGTTATTCTGTCTCTCAGTGTTCAAATAAACCTACCATTAAAATTATAGACTGATCATTTCTTCATCAGTGGGCAAAAGTACAAAATCAGCAGGGGATCAAATACTTTTTTCCCTCACTGTATGTAAACTTCCGACTTCAACTGTATCTTACCTCCACAGTGATTGGCTTTGTGGTCTTCTTCCTGTAGAAGATTGCTCTGGTATCAAACACCGGCTTCACGGTGTCTGCCTTGACTGTTGACTGTACTGAGCAGCCCTCACAGGACACGATCACATATGGATCTGCGCCTGTACAATGACACATTATGAACCATTCATTAGGCAATGTTGAAACATTTCCCTGTAATGTATGAGATAGTTTTAATTAGAGGTTGTGGAGCATTCTCTCACCCCCTTTGCTGTCCTGGATCTCCAGCCCCTCTGCTCCATGGACGTAGATCTGGGACACGGCAATAGGATAGCCAGTCAATGCACTCCAACACTTTATGCTGGGCTGGTGTTCTGTTAGCTCTCTGAGAGAGGGAGAGAGAGAGCGATTTACAGTAATGCTAAAGTAATGGTATTCTGCATAGATAAGATATCATACTGAAGTGTGTTACTACATGTAAATGATATTTTAGCTATGCCACAGATCTATTTCCAGTACCTGCATCCTGAGTCTACGTTAGTGTAAACACGCAGCATGAACTCTCCCAGAATCTCCGGTTTGAAGGTGGAGGGGATGATGATGTAACGGCCCTTGGGGAACATGCCCCTCATGAACACTGTGCGGGCGTTGATGTACGTCGTAGATTGCACGTTAAGCTGGGTGATGATGTCATGCATGCGGTATTTCCTATTCAGTTCAACCTTAAATCAAAAGAAATAATTTCTCACCATGACTGTTCCCCAATGGTTGTTGTTACAGCTTGATCAGATCTAGGTCTTGTTGAAAGTTTGTGTCCCTGATATGAACAAGCCAATGCGGCCATTATAAGTAATGTCTACCCATTATTGTAAACACTGCATAGTCACTTTACCTCTACCCACAATTACCTCGACTAACCTGTGACCCCGCACATTGACTCTGTACCGGTACCCCCTGTATATAGCCTTGCTACTGTTATTTTACTGCTGCTCTTTAATAATTTTTTATTTTTCTATTTTTTATTTATTTTTATTTTTACTTATCCATTTTTTACTTAACACTTATTTTTCTTAAAACTGAATTGTTGATTAAGGGCTTGTAAGCATTTCACTGTAAGGTCTACACCAGTTGTATTCGGCGCATGTGACAAATTACATTTTATTTTATTTGACTCACTGGTTTATTCGCTGTTTGTTCAACTGATGAAGAGAGAAAATTGAAATTCCATTGATTGAGCCAAATTTGTTTACAGAGGAGGAAGCCAAACATGTAGCGCAGAGAACCTCTCCCCTAAAATGAACTGAAGTTGGACCAACGCCCCAGATGCACACCCTGTCTCTTAGGCAGACCCTCACCGGCCCAGTTTCTCACCCCAATCCCACTAGTAATTCTTAGAGGGTGTTAATATGAACTACCTTGAAGATGGCGAAGCCGATGGTGAGGTTCTCTCCCTGGCCGATACGTCTGTGGATCTTCATGTCTCTCTGCTGTAGGGAGATCAGAACCTCATTCACTTCCTTGGTCACCTCAAACAGGTACTGGGGGTTCTGTAAGAATGTCTGTTTGTGGTTCATGCAGCCTCCACAGCGGTTGTGCAGAGGCTCTGCATTCTTGGTCCAACTCCCAAAAATCATCACTTCGTTCCATGTCTTGTCGATGGTGAGTAGGGAGGTGTTGATGAGATGACACACGTCTGCATCTGTGAAGTACTTACACCAGTCTCTAAACGCCATCCTACGAAGATACAGTAACACACACACACAGAGAGACACAAATGAACATGGGTAGATAGATAAAACACTCTCACACGCTGAACAGAAGAGATAATAGCCTTTAATTGTTTTGTTACACTCACCAGAACTCCCCATCATCTTCCACTGTGATGCCAAGCTTATTCCTCTCCATGCTGCCAACCTTTTTCCATTCTTCTGAGCTGAAGTAGGAGAGGGGGAGGGGCAACAGGAAATAGAGGGACAATGAGATAATGAGTTGATGAGGTCACTTGTGCACTGAAGTGTGGAGAGGTTGAACAGTACGCGAGTGTGGAGGATAAAGGCTCCATGTCCTCCTCACCTGTCACTCCAGGCTCCGTTCCACTCAGTCTTTCCCCAAGGGTTCCTCATGCGGATCAGGGGGATGGTCTCGTTCTGGAAGTAGGCCACCAGCCCGTGGCCCAACCGTACTTTCTTCACTGCAGTCACTGAGTAAGCATGGCCCTTCACCAGCCCACACGCCATCCGTGCCTCGATTTCAGAAGGAGACGCCTAAAAGTGGTCCAAGCACAGTAGACAGTCACTTGTGTCTACTATACACAATTACCTGTGACTATAGTGTGCTGACCAATTGAAAATGATCAATTGAAAAGACAAACCTTGATGGAGCAGCTGATTATTCCATCCCTGTCGAAGACTTTGAACAGGTCCTCAAACAGTTTGTCCATTCTCTCCTGGTCTTTGTGGAAAGCTTCAGCCTCAAGGTTAATGGCCTCTGCCACAGCTCCACTGAAATCCACCACCGCATCCCCAGTGTTGCCCCCGTCCAGCGACTCATAGCAGCCAGAGAGCCTGGAGACAAGAGGAGAGAGAGGCGAGTCCGGAGAAGATACAGAGAGGTTAGAGGGTACGAAAGGTTATGATTTATGATTCAAGGGTTGAGAGTCATGATTCAAGGGTTGAGAAATGGGTCAAAGGATGAGAAATGTTACAGTATACTGACTTGGCATAGGCTTTCTCAAGCAGGGCACTCCAAAACTCGTTTTTGGCTTTGGAGTGGCAGTACATGAGCTCTCCGTTGATGCTGGGCAGGCGGTCATCCACCACCACGTCCACCCACTCCCCAAACACCCAGAACTGGAAGTGGAAGATGCCAGTGTAGTTCTCAGGGTGCTTGGAGTCCCACTCCTGCTCCTTCCAGTTAGGGATGACCTGTCAAAACACAGGGCTTCATAGTGAATCACATGTCTAGTCAAATGTGAATAGTTTTAAACTTGGGTGGGGATGTAGGCAAGTAGTATCTTTCCCAGCCAGGCTTGAATAAGGAAAAGTTGAATGTTTCTGAGTGGTAATGGTCATTTAAGAAGGAAAGATAACACTCTTTTCCTTTCAATGGGAGTTAAAAGCCCCTCAGGTGAATTCCTAACGTGAACTAAGTTACATGAACTGTGAGTCAAGTATCAACAGCATGAAATGGCACACAGACATCCACCCACATACTTCATAGACATTATCTGCTCAATTTCGATTCACACATTAGCAGTGGCGGCTCCTGAAAAAATTCTCAGGGGGGGCAATTTTTCTGATGATTTAGGTGACCTACACACATTTAAAAAAAGATATGTCCAGCAACAACAGGGGCAGCATATAAGTCAATACTGATATACACATTACTTGCTTAAAAAAGGCCTCATGGTTGAATTGGAAATATGTGCACCTGAGCATAATTCACAACAAGCAAGCAGGAGCTTTTGATAGAGCTACTGAAAACATTGATGCAAGTTATTGGTAATAAGAAATTTTTATAGACTTCCATATTCTGCCCTCTTGTATAGATTTGTGAAAATGAACAGTGATAGACATTTTGCCTGAAAACAGAATTTGAAAATAATTTCTAGAAAAGGTAAACACAGCTATCTGTATGGCTTTGTAAAAATGAACAACCATATTCTGGCCAATTGTATAGATTTGTAAATATGAACAACCATATTCTGGCCAATTGTATAGATTTGTAAAAATGAACATGAACATATTTTTTTTTTTTTTTTACTTTTTTTAAAATGAAAAATAACTATTTTAAACAACATCAACTGTGAACTGATTTGGGCGTGTGTGTGTTAAAGAGACAGACAGGGAGGGACAAAGAGAGAGAGAGGCTACATTACTTGTACTGAAACTGTTCTAGCTTGCTGCATGATCAAATTCAGCTGATGCGCATAGCAATGCACGTAATGGGCATTCTTGAAATGCTCACGCACATTTTGCTGCACACCAGCCTTCTCTCCCCTCATCACACTGGCTCCATCGTAAGATTGCGCAATGAGTTTGACTTTCTCGTTGTCGGCAAAAAGACCGTTCAGTCTCTCCAAAAGCACACTGGCGATTGAGACTGAAGTTGATTCCGAGATGGGAAGGAACTCAAAAAAGCGCTCCTGCACTTTGTGGTTGCTATCTATGTACCTCAGCACAAGCACCAGCTGTGTCTGTGTAGAAACGTCCGTGGTCTCGTCAGCTTGGATAGCTACGAAGTTCGCCGACTTCACCTCCTCCACAATATGTTCCCTCATGACCGCTAGCATACACTCCAGTAGCTCGTTTTGAATGGTCTTTGATGTGCCCTTGAAAACTTTAGCATTTTTAAGATGGTCATCAAACACCTCATCTAATTGTGCCACAAAGTTGACAAGTCCAAGAAAAATACCAGGGTTGGTGGAGCCCTCAGTTTCATCTTTGCCTCGCAAAGCTAGCCATCTTGACAGTTGTACGTGAATTGATTGACGCTGCTACCCGCTCTTTTCTTAGTTATGTTCATGGTTACTTATGTTACGTATGACGAAAGCGCGTAAGTGCAAGCCCTCCCGGAACCCATAGAGATTGTATTGAAAGCTCTGATATTTGAAAACAAAAATATTTTACATGATAGTCTATGAAAGACTCCTGGGCGATTTTCAACCTGACTGAAATCGCCCCAAAAGGGGCGGGGCCATTTGAAGCACGACTTTAGCCTGATTGGACATTTAGTGGCAGATCAGACGTCTAGATTAGAACACTGATAACTACTGTTGCCGTGATATAATTGATTAGAAAAAAAAATCCCTTCCTTTTCCCGTTTGGCAGTGCGTCGCCCATATCGCCCTAATGAACACACCGCCCCTGCATTAGGAATGTGACCAAAATAGCTTTTTACCACCTGAGGAACATCGCTAAGGTGTGTCAGTTTCTATCTCAGGCTGATACAAAGAGACTCATCCATGCTTTTATTACAAGCAGGCTTTATCCTCTTATGTTTGCTGTGTAGTAAATATTTCTGTTTTTATTTTCATTGACTATTTATTTTTAGTCTTTCCGTTTTTGTTATTCTTTAGTTTTTTTATCCTCTTCTGTTTGCTGTGTAGTAAATATTTCAGTTTTTTATTTTCATTGTATTTTTATTTCTGTTTTTTACCTGTGCGTTGCATCTGAAATGTGCTATATAAATAAAGCTTGATTTGATGTGTTCCTTCCCAAACAGCACCATGTATTCCCCCATAAGGTGACTAAGGAAGGACTGATAAAGGAAACTAATACGCACGGAAATACACACATAGTCTGCTCTTGTGACACTCATCTCAGACTGTGTGACCAGACAGGAGGAAACCAAACTCACCTTCTGCCAGAGGTCTGGCTTCAGTGCCAGGCAGGAGCATGCCGCCACGAACCAGCAGTTACCCAAAAGCCCCTGGTTCAAGTCATGGGAGCTGATGCCCTCCACAAAGAGATGAGGCCCATCACTGATCTCCTGTAGCAGAGAAAGAAAATGTTGTTGACAAGTTATGATGAGGGGTGGTAAAATGTGAAATTGTGAGGTAAAATGTTCCATGTTCCATGTGAAAAATTAAAATACCTTAGAATGTGCTTAGTAATAAGTTATACTTGTAACAATAGTCGCAAATCCTTGGAAAATAGTTCTGGCTTAGAGTACGTTTTCTTTTTAAATGAGTTGGAACTCTCTTGAGGTGTACTGTTGTTATAAATAAGAAATTGTGTTTTCTCTTGTCACTTGGGCAACATGCCATACAGATGCAGGATCTTAATTTGATCACTCTTTTGTTGCTGATCATTTTCCTGCAAAGCAGGAAATGCAAAGTTGTAGTGTATTTTAGTTTTTTTTAAAGGCTTCTAAAGTTAGTAATTTCCACTTTGAAATTTCAGACTTGATTTTATGCACATAATAATTCACATTTCCTGTTGCTGCAGGATTATTTTCCTGCTGTATTAAGCTGGCTCAAATTAAGTTCCAACATCTGTACAGAGAACAGATACAGTAACACATTAAACAGGAATTATATAACTCTGTCTTCCTCCTTTGAACAGAATGGCAGCTATACAAACATAGATTTAATTTTTGTTTTTCTCTGACATTATTGTCATATATCTCACACACTATGTAAAGTATACACTTTGAGACACATCCCAACACCACCCTCACCCCAGTTTCACAACACAATTTGCTGTCTGTCACCACCATGAGTATTGTGGATGACACTCAACCTTTAACACAATCCTCAGAGGCAACCCTTCAAAAGGCATTAACCTTTGAAGTACTCCATCACAAAATATTGTATGAGCCTATATAAAACCTGGCAGACAACACCTTTCACAATCCCTATGTATGGCCAAATGCCATAAGTGCCTTGCAAAAGTATTCATCCCGCTTGACGTTTTTCCTATTTTGTTGCATCACAACCTGTAATTTAAATTGATTTTTATTTGGATTTCATGCAATGGACGTACACAAAATAGTCAAAATTGGTGAAGTGAAATGAAAAAATAAAAAATGAATAAAAAAAAATCTAAGAAATAAATAACGGAAAAGTGGTGCGTGCATATGTATTCAACCCCTTTGCTATGAAGCCCCTAAATAAGATCTGGTGCAACCAATTACCTTCAGAAGTCACATAATTAGTTAAATAAAGTCCACCTGTGTGCAATCTAAGTGTCACATGATCTCAGTATATATACACCTATTCTGAAAGGCCCCAGAGTCTGCAACACTGCTAAGCAAGTGGCACCACCAAGCAAGCAGCACCATGAAGACTAAGGAGCTCTCCAAACAGGTAAGGGACAAAGTTGTGGAGAAGTACAGATCAGGGTTCGGTTATAAAAAAATATTCGAAACTTTGAACATCCCACGGAGCACCATTAAATTCAATATTAAAAAATTGAAAGAATATGGCACCACAACAAACCTGCCAAGAGAGGGCTGCCCAACAAAACTCATGGACCAGGCAAGGAAGGCATTAATCAGAGAGGCAACAAAGACACCAAAGATAACCCTGAAGGAGCTGCAAAGCTCCACAGCGGAGATTGGAGTATCTGTCATTAGGACCACTTTAAGCTGTACACTCCACAGAGCTGGGCTTTACAGAAGACTGGCCAGAAAAAAGCCATTGCTTAAAGAAAAAAATAAGCAAACACGTTTGGTGTTCGCCAAAAGGCATTTGGGAGACTCCCCAAACGTATGGAAGAAGGTACTCTGGTCAGATGAGACTAAAATTGAGCTTTTTGACCATCAAGGAAAACGCTATTTCCCAACACCTCTCAGTTTTGCCTTGAAGAATGGGTGGGGGGGGGGGGGGGGGGGGGGGGCTCAAGTTTTCTGTTTATTTGTCTTATTTCTTGTTTATTTCACCAAAAAATGTATTTTGCATCTTCAAAGTGGTAGGCTTGTTGTGTAAATCAAATGATACAAACCCCCCAAAAATCCATTTTAATTCCAGGTTGTAAGGCAAAATAGGAAAAATGCCAAGGGGGGTGAATACTTTCGCAAGCCACTGTAACACAGTCATACTGTTTGTATATCAATGCCAGAGGTCTTGTAAAAGTATTGTAAAAGTCAGCACACATGAAAATTAAACCATAGACATGACATATTTGGTTTCAATATTGCACCAGAAGAAGGCCATGCTCTGATCCCAGAAAGTACTCTATAACACGTGTCTAAGCTTTAATTTTGACTAATCAACAGCAAACTATAAATTGGTATTTTAAGCAATAACATTTCCTAAAAACTATGAGGAAAAACATGAACAATACATAGTTTCAGTGAGCCATTAAAGCTTGTGACATTCTATTTCCTGTTTCATGTTTTTGCATACAGATTCTGCTTCTGGTATTAAGCTAATAGACAAAAAATAAAGCACAGGTATATTTTTTCCTTGGTAAAATCTGCCTGAAATAAAAATGACTGGTCAGGTGAATAGAAAATCTAATAGAAACGTTGATAATGAGTCAAGTGCTCTGTTTAGCCGTCACAGTCACTCACCCTTGGTCTCTTCCACTCCACCATACCAGGAGGTTGTTTTCTGTAAAACAGGGATGCGTTGGTGACAGGAAACTCTGGATCCTCAAACAGTTTATTGTCCTCCAGACATTTCCTCTTCAGCTCAGAGTAATGCTGGTTCTTGTATGAAGTGGCCGTGGAGAACATGTTTCAGACGCTGGAACCTCAAAACTGCAAACTGACCACAGAAGGAGACTTCATGTTACTTTATAGGCAGACTATCTGGACAGTCCTTGTCAGCTTAGGATATATTATTGTACACCTTTGACCCTGGGTGTCTGGACAAGAGCTCAGCATACCGTACCGTAATACACCCCATAAATCCCAGAGTAGCTCTTTCTTGGAAAATGTTGCAATGGCATTTTTCATCTGAATCACCGTAGTTTGGATATAGTATCCAAGGCAAACTCCCATAGGGGCCGACAGGGCAACAAACTGGTCTAGAGATACAGTGGGGGAAAAAAGTATTTAGTCAGCCACCAATTGTGCAAGTTCTCCCACTTAAAAAGATGAGAGAGGCCTGTAATTTTCATCATAGGTACACGTCAACTATGACAGACAAATTGAGAATTTTTTTCCCCAGAAAATCACATTGTAGGATTTTTAATGAATTTATTTGCAAATTATGGTGGAAAATAAGTATTTGGTCACCTACAAACAAGCAAGATTTCTGGCTCTCACAGACCTGTAACTTCTTCTTTAAGAGGCTCCTCTGTCCTCCACTTGTTACCTGAATTAATGGCACCTGTTTGAACTTGTTATCAGTATAAAAGACACCTGTCCACAACCTCAAACAGTCACACTCCAAACTCCACTATGGCCAAGACCAAAGAGCTGTCAAAGGACACCAGAAACAAAATTGTAGACCTGCACCAGGCTGGGAAGACTGAATCTGCAATAGGTAAGCAGCTTGGTTTGAAGAAATCAACTGTGGGAGCAATTATTAGGAAATGGAAGACATACAAGACCACTGATAATCTCCCTCGATCTGGGGCTCCACGCAAGATCTCACCCGTGGGGTCAAAATGATCACAAGAATGGTGAGCAAAAATCCCAGAACCACACGGGGGGACCTAGTGAATGACCTGCAGAGAGCTGGGACCAAAGTAACAAAGCCTACCATCAGTAACACACTACGCCGCCAGGGACTCAAATCCTGCAGTGCCAGACGTGTCCCCCTGCTTAAGCCAGTACATGTCCAGGCCCGTCTGAAGTTTGCTAGAGTGCATTTGGATGATCCAGAAGAGGATTTGGAGAATGCCATATGGTCAGATGAAACCAAAATATAACTTTTTGGTAAAAACTCAACTCGTCGTGTTTGGAGGGCAAAGAATGCTGAGTTGCATCCAAAGAACACCATACCTACTGTGAAGCATGGGGGTGGAAACATTATGCTTTGGGGCTGTTTTTCTGCAAAGGGACCAGGACGACTGATCCGTGTAAAGGAAAGAATGAATGGGGGCCATGTATCGTGAGATTTTGAGTGAAAACCTCCTTCCATCAGCAAGGGCATTGAAGATGAAACGTGGCTGGGTCTTTCAACATGACAATGATCCCAAACACACCGCCCGAGCAACAAAGGAGTGGCTTCGTAAGAAGCATTTCAAGGTCCTGGAGTGGCCTAGCCAGTCTCCAGATCTCAACCCCATAGAAAATCTTTGGAGGGAGTTGAAAGTCCGTGTTGCCCAGCGATAGCCCCAAAACATCACTGCTCTAGAGGAGATCTGCATGGAGGAATGGGCCAAAATACCAGCAACAGTGTCACGCCCTGGCTCTTGGACTCTGTTATGTTGAGCCAGGGTGTGTGGTTTCTATGTGTTTTGTATTCTAGGTCGTTTATCTAGCTCATTTGTTTCTATGTTGGCCAGTGTGGTTCTCAATCAGAGGCAACGTGAATCAGCTGTTGCTTGTTGTCTCTGATGGGAACCATACTTAGGCAGCCTGTTTTCCACAGTGTGTTGTGGGATCTTGTTCCGTTGAAGGTTTGTGTTTGTAACCAAGGAACGTCACGTTATCGTTTTGTTGTTTTGTTCGTGAGTTCTCTAATAAATAAGTATGTTCGCATTCCACGCTGCGCCTTGGTCCTCTGTGTATGACGATTGTGACAAACAGTGTGTGAAAACCTTTTGAAGACTTACAGAAAAGTTTGACCTGTGTCATTGCCAACAAAGGGTATATAACAAAGTATTGAGAAACTTTTGTTATTGACCAAATACTTATTTCCCACCATAATTTGCAAATCAATTCATAAAAAATCCTACAATGTGATTTTCTGGATTTTTTAAATTTATTTTGTCTGTCATAGTTGACGTGTATGATGAAAATTACAGGCCTCTCTCATCTTTTTAAGTGGGAGAACTTGCACAATTGGTGGCTGACTAAATACTTTTTTCCCCCACTGTAAATATATCCAATAACCGATTTGAAAGCGATGCATATTTCAATAAATGGAAGTAGAAACACAGTCTTCTATAAACAAAATCTACAAACAACTACGCTACATCACTTTAAAAGTTATAGTCAACCATAGATTTTATTGTATCTGACCTTTGACACAAACACAGCAAATGGCTAAACTTTTACTGGTTTTGCGATGGAAACATCCCATGGGTGATTAAACGCATCTGATCAAAACATCTGCTATCCTCTGGGAATATTCTGATATTCTAACTCTATGACCGGTACAGTGCACTTTAATCCTGACCCCCAACCCCATAGGTCAAGCTCTTTATAAACAAGATGAGATTCTATATGGAGTCTGTCTGACAGTGCAGTCTCGTACTTTGCTGTCTGCCATGAATAACACAGACACAAATAATTACATTCCAAAGGAATTCCATTTTGTGGCCACCGGAGAACAGTCAAGCTCTAAACTCCCGGTGAGTCTCTAATTACACATTTCCCAAAAACATTACACACTTTAGGAAATGCCTCTCAGAGCAAAGCCCATTTGGAACACAGTGAGAGGCAGTTCATGACGAGGTTGTCATGAGGATTCTGACAGTTCATTATCATCATGGCCAACTCTCTGCTACCTTCAGTTTTCAGTCAAAACATTAAGCAGAAATGTACCAACAGCCAATACACTAGAATAATTGGTGGAATAAATTAGAATGTTTTTCTCTCTCTCTCCTTCCTTCCTTCACATACAGAACAACCACATTCTCTGTCTCTTTCTCAAACTATTAAAGCAAAGAGAAGTCCTTACATATATCACATCTAAGGATCTATAAGAAAAAGCTCAATAAAACTGTCTACTGTACCTCACCTGTAATGCTGTGACAACTGCCTCCTCCCAGGATAGTGAAAGAGAAGGGTGTTTCCACTAGGTCTTTGTACCTGTCGGTTTCGCCCCTCCCCCTCCTCCCCTCCTCCCCCACAACACCTCCGCAGTGACCTAGTTTTGTGTGTGTGTGTGTGTGTGGTGGGTGTAATG